AAGAGTCCTGAGAGTCATTCAAGAGGGGCATCAAGTCCTCCTAGTAGCTCCCTCTGGCCCGGGAGAACTTGGTTTCCACTGCTGCACAGGCTCTGTTGCAGCTCTCCAATGCCTCTACCCCACAGGAAGGACCTCCTATCACAGTTGAGGGGTCAGCTCCTACACCCCGACCCCAGTCGCCTCCGGCTCTGGGCTTGGCCACTACAGGGCCCGGCATTACCTTCTCAGAGTATGACGGGGAGGTTGCACATACAATGAATAACACCAGGGCCCCTTCCACACGACTGTTGTACACATATAAATGGAAGGTCTTCAGCAACTGGTGTCGTGCCAGACACGAGGACCCTGTACACTGTCCTCTTTCTGTTATTCTCACTTTTCTTCAGGCACTACTTTCTCAGGGCCAGTCTCCATCCACCCTGAAAGTTTATGTTGCTGCCATCTCTTGCTGGCATACGGTGGTAGGTGGGGAGACAGTAGGTCGTAACAAGGATGTGTCCTTGTTTTTGAGAGGTGCCAGACATCTGCATCCCCCCACACGCCTCGTCGTGCCTGTGTGGGATCTCTCTCTGGTCCTGGCTGCCCTGCAGTCTGCTCCGTTTGAGCCCTTGACGGACGTGAGCCTTGAGTGCTTGTCTAAGAAGACCGCATTTCTCCTGGCCATGGCTTCGGCCAAACGAGTAGGTGAACTACATGCACTGTCTGTTCACGAGCACTGTTGCCGTTGGAACCCGGCTGGTTCGGGTGTTACACTCTGGCCTAACGTAACGTTCCTCCCTAAGGTGGCCTCATCTGCGACCCACTCTCTGCCTCTCCAACTTGCTCGCTTCAATACAGATGGTGCTGATGAGCCTGTCTGCCCTGTTCGGGCACTGGAAACGTACATCAGACGGACAGCCTCTCTGCGGCTGTCTGATACAGTATGTTCATTTGCCTCGCAAAGGGCAGGCCCTTTCAAAGCAGGCCCTTTCAAAGCAGCACCTTGCGCGCTGGATTGTGGACATGGTGGAACAGGCGTACACTCTGCAGGGCTGCCAGCCACCTGTAGGGGTACGATGCCATTCCACCAGGAGCGTTAGCGTGTCATGGGCCGCTATGAATGGGGTCACTCTGGAGGCAATATGTGCAACAGCCTCCTGGTCATCCCCAAATACCTTTGCCAGGTTCTACAGGGTAAACCTGGCTGCCTTTCACCCGTTGGAAGGGATCCTATCACAGCACTCATCTTTGTTTCAGTAAGGTGGGCAAACTTAAATTTTGTTTCTTCTTGTGGGTGTGATTCCTCAGGACTCTGTTGGCAATCGTCATCCAGTGCTTTAAGCACCGCCTCTGGCGGTCAGTAGGGATGAAATAGAGCAAGAGTTACAGCTGTAACTACGGTTCTATGAATCCCGGATGACCGCCAGAGCGCTCGGTCCCTCGGAATCATCGCGTTTTGCGAGAAGATTAAGGGACTGGGCTACCGTTGTCACGTGCTTATATAGACTCACCGGTGTCCCAGGCATCACACGTGACTATGTTGGCATAAATTCTCGACCTGTACATGCGCAAAAATGATCATTCAGTGCTTTAAGCACTGCCTCTGGCGGTCATCCGGGATTCATAGAACCGTAGTTACAGCTGTAACTCTCGTTTTGTTTTGTTTCCTTTTTTCTTTTCTTTTTTTTTCATAGAATTTTAAAAAGAGTATTTATAAAAATGTAAATGAATAAACATTTCTAAATTTGCAAGCCTGTCTCAGATGTCAAGTATTTTTGTAAGATCTATGAACTGGTGTGCCTTGTAAATCACATAATTTTAATGAGAACCACTTGGTATCACCACAGTTAGATGTTCATTTATATAGACATTAGTTCCCTTCAGATTTCTTGCTTGCACCATCAGATTATTTCTAGCTTTTTTACTGATGAACCTAACAATACATGGTTAAATTTTTTTCTGATTTAGTAGGCAAGGTGTGACCGGTTGAAATGTCCTCAGGTTTGATGTCTGTCATAGTACACCCCTGGATCACCTTCAGTTTGTTTATTTCATCCTGTTCGGTCCTGCACTGCCTATCACCTGTCTTCAACTCCTGTCACACTCTCTCAGCAATCACCACTCACCTGTCACACCTGTTCATCTCACTTCTTAAGCTCCACTCTCACTCTCCTCAGTACCAGATTATTGAAAGCTCTCCAGCCAGAAAATTCTCCAGCATTCTCCTCGACCTTGATTCCTGATCTTGAACTCTGCTTCTTCTCCTGACGTTGTTTTTGCCTTGCTCCTGACTGGACACTTCTACTATTTTCTGACCACGGTAATACGACCCTTGCTTGCTCTCTCTCGACCACGGTTTTTGGATCACCCTTTTCGGCAGTTTTTGCTTTGCTTGTTTTTGTCTTCTTGGCTCTTGACCTCCTGCTACCCTCACTGGACCATGACATTTGGACATCCCATCATCCTGCTTTCCTTCTGCAGATTACTCTGCATGAGTGACATCACCCAGTCTGCAGCTCCTCTTCCTGCCCTACTACCAATTGAGAAGGTTAGTGACTGTTTTAGTTTAGCCATCGCTTTTCAAACTTCACGTGCAGTCACTAACCTGTCTCTCCTGTTAATAGATTGGACCACTGTCTGGACCCAAGCCTCCACCAGAAGCGGTTACAAAAATAAAACCTTTAAACTACTCCTGAGTTCTGCCCGGTCTCGTCGGCCGAGCAGAACTTCAGAGCTGGTTCCGGTGTTTTCGTGGGAGCGGGGTCCAGACACTCCTTAGCTCTCCTATTCCGAGGGGGTCCCGGCAGACGCTCTTCAACTCTCCACATCTCCAGAGGGGTCGGCGCTCTCCACATCTCCAGAGGGGTCGGCGCTCTCCAAATCTCCAGAGGGGTCGGCGCTCTCCAAGTCTCCAGAGGGGTCGGCGCTCTCCATGTCTCCAGAGGGGTCGGCGCTCTCCATGTCTCCAGAGGGGTCGGCGCTCTCCATGTCTCCAGAGGGGTCGGCGCTCTCCACTACCACTGAGGATTCGCCTCCATGGTCCTCCATGTCGTCTGCTGCAGAGCCACAGGCCTCTCCGTCGTCTGCTGCAGAGCCACAGGCCTCCAGAACAGCAACAGCAACTCCCCAGGCCTCCACGACAGCAACAGCAACTCCCCAGGCCTCGACGACAGCAGCAGCAACTCCCCAGGCCTCCACGACAGCAGCAGCAAC